GGGCAAAATAAGGGAAAAGAGGATATGGGATTCAATCAATGAAGAATTAAATTATGGGAATTTAATGTCAATCAACATGGTTTTATGAAAAATCGTTTGTCAAACTAACTTGATTTCATTCTTTGATAAAATTCAAGTTTGGTTGATAAAGGTAACTATATAAGTGCAATAGTCAGACTTTTGTAAGGCATTTGACTTTGTACCTGACATTCTGATTAAAAAATTAGTACTGTACAGTACCAAAGCACACGTTAAATGGATTAAGAACTGACTAACCAACATATCTCAAAAAGAAGTTATCTATGGAGAAATCATCTAATTGGGAGGAGGGTGGTGTCTAGTGGGGTGATGCTGTTCAATATTTTCATCAATGATGTGGAAGTAGATATAAAAATCACTGCTGATCAAATTTGCAGGTAACGCTAAGACTGGCAGTGATAAATAATGAGGACAGGCCGGTCACAGAAAACAATCTGGATTTTTTGGTAAACTGGGCCCATTCAAACAAAATAATTTTAATACAGCCAAAAGCTGTATCTAGAAAAAAGAATGTAGGCCATACTTACAGAATGCGGGACTGTACCTGGAGATGCCATAACTATGAAAAGGATTTAGAAGTCATTGTGAACCAACAACTTAACATGCACTCCCAGAGAGATGTTGTGGCAAAAAAGTCTAATACAATTCTAGAATGCGTAAACAAGGAAGTAATCAGCAGGAACAGGGAGTGATTTTACCTCTGTATATAGCATTGGTGAGACTAATACAGTAATAGCTCATCCAATTCTGGTGTCCGCATTTTAAAAAAGATATTGAAAAATCTGGCGAGGGTGCAGAGAAGAGCCACAGAAATGACTCAAGGGCTAGAAACAATGCCTTATAGTGAGAGACTTAAAGAGATCAATCAAAAAGAAGATTAAGATGTGACTTGATTACAGTGTCTGTACCTTCATAGAGAGAAAATATCAGGTACTAAAGGTCTATTTAATCTAGTGGAAAAATGCTTAACAAGAACCAAGGGCTAGAATTTAAATCCAGACGAAAATGCAAATTAGAGCTGAAGCACAAACTGTTAGCAGCGAGGGTGATTTAACCACTGGAAACAACTACCAAGGGAAGTAGTGGATTTCCCAACCCTTGATGTCTTCAAATCAAGACTGGAAGACTGTCCGGAAGATATGCTTTAGTCAGTTTGGGCTCAATACAATGTACGTATAATGGTATGACCTGTGTTTGCAGGAGGTCAAGTTGGATGATCCAATGGTCCTTTTTGGACTTACAATCAATGAATCGGGTAAAGAGCTTAAGGACATTGTAAAGAAGCAATGCAGTTTCTTTGCATGAGTCTTCACCACTGAGGATGTTGGGGCGATATCTAACACAGACCTGCTCTTTTGTGGTAACAAAGCGGAGGCACTGCCAGAAACTGACATCTCAAAAGAGGAGATGCTGGAATAAACTGGTAAATTAAAGAACAAGTCACCAGGAGTAGATGGCGCACCCATGTATTCTGAGGAATTTAAGAATGAAGAGGCTGAGTTGCTAATAGGAATATGCAACCTAATTAAAATCAGCTACTGTACTGGAGGGTAGCAACTGTTGTACCAATCCCTGAAAAAGGCACTAAGAGTGATCCTGGGAATTACAGATCAGTGAGTCTTACCTCTGTACCACGAAAACTGACTGAAATAATAATTAAAAATAGCATTATGAACCCTCTGTGTGAACAAAACAGGGACAAACCATCACAGCTTCTGCAAAGGGAAATCTGTTATAATTCTTTGAACTTATCAATAAAATAGTGAATTAAGGAGAACTGGCTGATGTAGCTTTCAAAAAGCCTTTATTAAAGACCCTCACAAGAAGCTGTAAAGGAAAGCAAGCAGCATGGGGTGAGAGGTGAATTTCTGTCATGGAACGGAAACTAAGAGGAAACAAAGAGTAGTATAAATAGCCAATTTCCATCATGGCAAAAGGTTAGGAATGAGCTGCCTTGTTCTATACTAGGATTCATATTGTTTAGTTAATGATTTGGAAAGCAGGGAGGGGTGAATGAACAGTGAGGTGGTAAAATTTTTAAATGACAATTATTTAGATTAGTCAAGACTGGAGAAGACTGAGGAACTTCAGAAGGATCTAACCAAGTGAGGTGAATAGACAAAATAAAAATAGATTAGATTCAGGCATGACAAATGCAAGGCAATGCACACTGCAAGGAATCATCGGAATTCCTCCTACATCTTACTGGGTTCTCAATTAACTGTAACCTAGGTGCTCTTGTGGTCAATAAAAATCTATGTTCCATGGGCAGTGGCAATCAAAAATTCCAATAAAATGTTACGATGCAGAGGAATGGGATGGAGAATAATACTGGAGCTATTCCAACATCTTTATAAAAGCAGTGGAATACCCTCACATAGAACACTGTGTTCATCTCTGGTCACCCTCTCTGGAAAATGACATAGATGGAACAGAGCCAGGGTATGGAGATGGGGAGCAAAAATGGCGTGAGGCCTGGAGAGGATTAGGAGGCAAGACTGAAAAGACTAGTTTAGAGAGATTAAGAGGGGATATGATAAAAGGTATACAAAATAACAATGGGAACTGAGAGGGTAGGTAGGGTACTCTTTACTCTCACAATAAAAGGCAGCAAATTGAAAACCGATAAAACACTTCATACACGCATAATTACCCTGAGGAATTCATGGTCACAAGATAATCAGAGTCCAAGACCTTAATGGGATTAAAAAAAAAGGAGCTGACATTTATATGGATAACGAGAACTTCAGTTACATTAGTAAGGATTAAAACCTCTGGAAGTTTGGAAGGGATCTAACCTCTCTGGTTCAGGGGAACAAGCTGACTTCTAGCCATTGGGGGTCAGGAGGAAACTTTCCTGGGCGGAGAAGAGGGAAAGATAGGTTCCCCTGCAGGGTTTCCTCCCCTTTCCTCTAAAACTGCTGGTACTAGCCACTATCAGAGACAGGGCACTGGACTAAACAAACCATTGGTTGGACTCAATTCAGAAATTCCCATGAGATATAGTTGCTGAGCTCAGTGAAATATAAGGGCAAATAGAAACTGGATATCTGAATATAATAATAATATTTTGCTCTTTGCTGGCACCAATTGGAGCATTACAAAACACTTTAAAACATTAATAATTTAGGTCTCACCCTCACCGTATCAGACAAATAGCTGCTATTTTCCCTTCTTGTATAAAAGGGGAAAATGAGACAAAGAGGTGCGAAGGGACTTGCTTAAGGTCTCACAGCCAGTCACTGACAGAACTGGGATTAGATCACACACACCCCAATACACCTATTCCCATAGCTGGGAACAAAACCTTGATTCTTGACTCCCAGGCCTCCTCTAGCCACCAGTGACCAGGCCCCATTCCCTTCTAATATTAGCCAAGTGCAAAAGCTACAATACAATGTAAAACAGAAGATATACAGGAATTTGTCCTTTATTTTGCTAATCATAAGGTTTGTTCTTGGGGAGCAGCCAAGATGTCCCTGGACTGACTATGCTGAGATGAGTCCTGATCCAATTCTCATTCCCCAACTCCCCTCAATCTCTGCACCCACACATTTCCTGCTGAATTCAGGTGGGTGATCTAGGTGGAAAAACTGGCCTAGCAACCAAGCAGCCTCACTCTCTAAGGTTCTATTCTACATAAGTACAGTCCTATCCACTTGCACAAGGTACCACATACACGTCCAACATGATTAAGCCTGCACTTGAGACTGGAATAGGAGAGTGTAAGTCAGGACTGAAGCGCATTGCCAGTAACCAGGGTGTGGGGAAGGATAGGATTCTCTGCACTGAACCCTTTAGCAGGGAGCCAGAATTTATGGAACTGGAATGTGCAGGGGAGGAGGCGCCATCTCTTTTCTCATGTTCCAGCCACCATGAGGGTGAGGGACAGAGGGAGATTCATGCAGAGAATCTGGGGCTGATGTGTCCCTAATCCCACACCGTGCTCCCTTCAGGAGAGGATGGAGAGAAGCGAGGTATACAGAAGCAATCACTGGAAGGGAAGAACACAGGATGAGGGTGTAGTGTGAGAGTTGGGGAGACTGGAGACTCATGTCCCCACCTGGCCTTGAGAATGGACGAGTCAGGGATTTGGTGGGATAACAAGGAAAGATACAGGGGTTTTACAGCCCAGATGTGTGGGAGGAATCTGGCACTCAAGAGGGACAGCAGAGAAATACATGAGAATGTGCCCCAGAAACAAAAGGCAAGGCATCTGGGAGAGGAATAGGTGAGACAAGTGTGTACCCCCAGAAGCAGGGTTGGGGTCAGGCATGTGGGGGACAACACAGATACAAGATTTCTACCTTAGAGATGGGAAAGCACATGTGGGGGACACTCAGGAGAAGGCACAATAAGAGATACACAGTTGAACCCGCCCAACTATGAAAAGGAGAGGATCCAGATAATGGGGTGACAGATATAGGGATGGGTATCCCCTAAACTCAAGTTGATGGGACCATGACACAACCCAGAGAAGGGGTATCCCAGTCACTGCCGTGTGGCTCCATGGGGCGGGGGGGAGATTTCACATCCCAAAGCACAATGTCTGCAGTCTGTGCCTGCCTGCAGCTGCCCCAGTAGATTCTGTTGATTACGGGAGGGGAGAGAACTGTGACTATGGGCTCGGGACTAAGAGCTCTTGAGCCCTATTCCCCTCCCTAGCTCCGTCCCTAGGAGGAGCCCTGCTCCCCTAGCAGTGGTGTTGGTGGATGTGGTGAGCTCTTCAGTCCCCTCCCCTCTGGGTCCAGCCTGGGCTTACTCCGGGCTGGTTTGCTCAGGCTGAGACAGGGCCACGTGCGCAGAAACAAAACTCATGCGTTTCCCGCCCCCATTCCCTCCTTCATGCCGCAGCGGAGGGCCTGCGGGCCAGGAACCGCGGGGGAGGGGGGAGGGGCTCCCCGCAGTGCAAGGGGAAAACCAACCCGCGAGCCCCGCCCGCCTCAGGGTCGCTCGCTCACCCTCCTGCGAGCAGGTGCAGCAGCGTGCTCCTATAGGGCATCACCGCCGCGCTCTGCCTCTAGAGCGTCTGTCCACCAGCGGGAGCCCGCGATTACCCCCGGACCGCAAGCGCCGCGCTACGCTCCTCGCTTCCGCCCAGCGGCGCAGCCCCCCTCTCCCATTGGTCCCCAGACGACCGCTCCGCCGTGACGCAATGGCCGGACGAGTAAGGCGCCCCGCCCGAGCGGAAACAGTTTGTGCTTTGTCAGGTCAGGTGCCTGACATCGGAGAGTCGGGATCCGCCTGTTTCGTTTGGACGCCCGCTGCCAGCCCGGCCCTGCCAGCCCTGAGCGCGGCTCGCTGGCCCAGGGGATCTCCGGCGTGGGAGGCGGAGGGTGGCATGCCTGGGGCGCACATCGTGTGTGTGGGCGGGAGTGGATTGTCGGGCGGCCGGTGTTTTCGGCCCTCGTACAGGTCGGGAACGGGAGGGCGCTGCAGTGGAGTCTCGGGAGTGTCGTGGGGCTCAGGGGCCGAGAAGAGTACAAGCTGGGAAAGGTCTCCAGCAGATGGAGAGGGGCGCAGGCTGGGGTGGGGGGATTGGGAAAGGCAGTAAAACAGGTGGGTTGCCTGCGGTTAAGGATATATCTATATATATACCTTATATATCTGCCATATCTTAACGGTTAAGGATTCAACATGTCTGAAATGCCCCTGTATGGTTTTCCTGCTTCCTTGCCATTTTCTGAACTCTACCTCCGAGTGAAACGTGCCTGTTTTTTGTTTTTGTGTTTCAATCTAGCCATAGCTCCTGCGGAAAGATAGATTAACTGCAAGCTTCAGGACTCTCCCTTGCTTTCCCTGTATATCTAAGGGTGCCAGCAACGACTGATAATAAAATTCTCACTCTCTGTAGCACCTTCCGTCCTAGGAACTCAGAGGTCTTTGCAAAAAGCAATTAATCCAATCTCACAACAAAAGAATCTCATTATCCTTAATACAAACTGGGGAAACTGAGGCACATAAAAGCAAAGTACCTTGTCCAAGATTGATAGCAGGGAAGTGATAGAGCCAGAAACAGAATCCAGGTGTCCTATGTTCTATTCTTCATGCTCAATCAACCAAAGCCACAGTCTCTCTCTGCTAATGTATAATTTTATATGAAATCTGGCTAATACACACTAGAGGCAGAAAAGTCTCCTGAAAGGATTAAGTCCCTGGCTTTGTATGTAAAAGATTGCCTAGACCTGATACTGCAGTTTGACCATCAGTGTACATAGGAGATGAGAGCTCTTTAGCCCAAGAAATTGTGTGTGCTTCCACAGACTCTTTGTTTTATGGGTCTGAATTGATTCAGAATCTGCACACAAATCATATTCACCATAACACTGCCCTCTTATACTGCAGGTTTCAAGTCACCTGTGGGATTTGGGATACTCTTAGTTATTCTAATGTCATGTTTTTCTTCATTCTGTTTTAATAGTGGCTGGTGCAGGTGCTAGCTTGGCAGCCTCTGGGAGCAGAATCATCTGTACAGTGAGTATAGCCTGGGCAGTGGCAGGGCAAGCTCCCCATCCCCCAGCAACGTGCCTCAAGGGTGTGTCTACACAGCAATACGAGATGTAATTGCAGCATGGGTAGACATATGTGCCCTAGCACGGCTAAGAATAGGAGAGTCAAACAGTGGCTCAGGATTCAGTGTGGGGTGTGCAAGCATCTTGGGAATGCTGGGTTTATATTTGCATTGCTAGGCTATGCTGAAGCCTGTGGCACCACATCTACGCTATTTTTAGCCGTGCTGGTGCTAGTAAAGCTAAGGAACATATGTCTACCAGTGCTGCAGTCACACTTAGGATTGCAGTGTAGACATACGCACAGGAGAGATGGTAATTCAGTCCTGGGTCTTTCTGGTGAGACCACCAAAAAACAGCCAATTAGAGCTCTGTGGACAGGCCTCATTACTTTTATGTCCTCCCTCTTGGGTGGAATCACACAATATTCCAACTCTCAGATCAGGAAATGGGCTGTAGTCCCCTGTGTACCATCCATGATTTCGTAGGCAGGTCCAAGTCTAACTGGGTTTTGGCCCCTGCTGTAGATTTCTCTCTAGGAGCTATAACTATTGATTTTTACAGTGACCAAGTAGGTTCCTTAAAGAAAAGTATTTTTTGTTCAGAACCATGGCATTCAGTGAAACAGCTTCTTAAGACAATAACAGTCTATATGCATTTATGTCTTGCCTATGGCTTAGGCAGGCCTAGCTTATTCCAGACTCCCCACTTCTGGACTCTGAGATGCAACATATTTCCATGCAGATCCAGTGTGTCCCTGTCTCATTGGAAGCTTTGCTCTTAATAGTTCCAAAGCACTTTGTTTAGATTTCTCTCCTGGATCCCCCTCCCTTGAGTCACCAGCCAGGCAGTGTCCCAAGCAAGGTAGAAGTAAAACTTCAAAGGAGCTCACAACTTTATTGTTTTTGAGTACCTGCAACATTGTTTGCTTTCTGCCCAGTGTAGCCAACTTTCTGAAGATTTAGCTCTGATAGTCACATAGCAAACAATACAACAGCAATCCACAAGCAGACGGACATGTGATATTCATAAAAGCAGCTTCCACATTCTCCATGGTGTCTATGCAGGAATCCTTCAGTGAGCTCTGAAATTCAGCCACCTTTGGAGCAGGGCACAGCAGTTATTAATACAGGGATCTCATCTCACCTACCTCTGAAATGAGCCAAGAATACAAGGGATCTTCACCAGACTGAAATAAAGGCTCCTGAAGGGGTAGAGAATCCCAGTATGTCACTGTTTCCCCACCACATCCTCTGATAAGGGGGCAAAGAAAACCAGTATGTTCCTATCCCATCAATGTAATAGCTGTTGGGAGAGGGAAGGGGATAGAAAATCTTGACCCCGCCCCCCAACACCTGCTGAGGCAGGGTTACAGAATTAAAGTATGTCCCAGTTCTCCCAGTGTGGGAGCTATTGTTTGATATCAGAGCAGCAGGATTCACAGCTCTTAGATCTGTCATTCCCTGAAACTGTTCTGCCCTGTGCTGGTCATAACACAGAAGTAAAGGAGAAGACCCAAATTGCAGGGACATAGGCTGGAGCATTCAGACCCTGGAATCTAAACCTGCAGGAGACTTTCCCCTCTGACTCGGTACTGATCCCCCCCCACATTGCCAACAGGGTGCATAGGCTGCTTTGCTGCAAGGAGTAATGTGGGTGACACATTGGAGAGTTCTTCCTTCTGAGCCAGTTCTGATCCCACGCTTTTACAATGGATGATCTTCTGGCCAAGATGCTGGAGACCAAGCAGATGAGCTTTTGCCAGCCTCCATAGTAAGATGAGGGGGACTGGAGGGCTGGGGAAAGAAATGGCTGTCCTCTGCTCAGGGGATTAGGGCTTCTGTCAGCCCCCACCCCCATCCCCCAGCAAGGTGGTATGTCTTGAGGGGCCCCAAAAGAGGGAAGGGAAGGGTGTGTCTGATGATCAGGAGGTTAGGGCTTCTCTAATCCTCATGGAGAGTGGGGCTTGTTACTGAGCTTCCTCTCTTTCTCTCTGCATCTAGGGTGACCAGACAGCAAATGTGAAAAATCGAGACAGGGATGGGGAGTAATAGGAGCCTATTTAAGAAAAAGACCCTAAAATCGGGACATCTGGTCACCCTACCTGCATCCCAGGTGTGGCAGCCCTGGCTCTGTCTGAGAACTCCATGGGCAGCTTTCTCATGATGGTTGGTGCTAAAGAGTTTCTTTGGTTGCTTTCTCAGGGTGCCTACTGTGACACCCTGGCACCCCAATATTCACCACTGTCATAGAATAGAATCATAGAATATCAGGGTTGGAAGGGACCTCAGGAGGTCATCTAGTCCAACCCCCTGCTCAAAGCAGGACCAATCCCCAACTAAATCATCCCAGCCAGGGCTTTGTCAAGCCTGACCTTAAAAACCTCTAAGGAAGGAGATTCCACCACCTCCCTAGGTAACCCATTCAAGTGCTTCACCACCCTCCTAGTGAAAAAGTTTTTCCTAATATCCAACCTAAACCTCCTCCACTGCAACTTGAGACCATTACTCCTCGTTCTGTCATATAATTAGGATATGTTTTGCACAAAGTATGCCTTGTGACATATCTTTCTAAAATTCTTGGTCTTCTACACATTAATATCTCATTGAATTGTATGTGTTATCGTATGTGAAGTTATGAAGTTTGGCTAACACCCACAAGCAGCCTTTCAGGTACAACAATAAAAAGGCCAAACAATGTCAATGTCTTATTGAGGAAATGCACACAGGCACAAGGATTACCCCAGGAACTGTGTACAATAGAAATGTCTCAGAGCTATCAATATACAGTGGGAACTGTTTGACCCAGGTCACAGCAAAAGAGCTTTCCAGCAAGTGGGAAGAAGATATAAAAGGGAGAAATGACATCATGATGGTACCTCACTCCTCCTACAACTCACCTGGAAACACCTGAGGAACAAAGACTGAACTGGGGGAAGTGATGGTCCCAGGCTAAAGGGATTTCTAGCCTGTGTATGAAAACCTGGGAGACCCAAGCTGCAAAGCAAAGGCAGCTTGTGCCTTAAGAATTTGCCAGTCTGTTTATCGCTCAGGATGAGAATTTGCTAATTCATATCCTACCTATCTAGTATGTTAAGCCCAGTTTGCATTATTGTTTATTTACTAGGTAATCTGCTTTGATCTGTTTGCTATCATTTATAATCACTTAAAATCTATCTTTTGTAGTTAATACATTTATTTTATGTTCTAATCCAAACCAGCGTGCATTTGAGCTTGGTTACCACAAGTGTGCATGGTCCTCTTCACATTGAGAGAGGGGCAGACCGGATGTTAAAGCCATATACTGGTCAGATTTGACCAGGGCAGGATGGTACTGCTCTGGGGTCCTAGGCTGGGAGGCTGGTGGTTAGAAAGCCTGCATGTAACTGCAGCTGGGTGTGTCCCTACCTGTGTGAATGCTGGTGAAAGTGCAAGCTTGTAGGGCTTTGCAGCTTGTCACAGTAGCACAGTGTGAGAGGGAGCCCAAGCTGTTGAGTCAGAGGGCTCACGGTACCCCAGTTCCAGGTAGCACCCCAGGGGGAACCTGTCACACCTACCCCTTTAGGAACTCTCATTGGTAGTCTTTCAGGGTGTCTGGCCCTTTAAGAGCTCTTTCGTCCTATCCTCTCAGGTGACCAATGTCTTTAAAAACTCCTGGGATTATCCTCCAGACTAGAGCTATTTATAAAGTCTCCTCTGGGTTCCTGCCCTTTTGAGGAACCCAGTCTGTCATGTTGCCATGATGAAATTCATTTATAGTGCATAACAAGAACTTTATGGAATCTATAGACTTCGATGGCACTGTTTAAATTAACGGTCCACATATAACATCTACATAGATTACATGCAAATAAACTATGCTAAAAGAACATTATTTAGGTCACAATACCAAGCATTCAAAAGTTAGGAATATCAGAATTAAGGTTCTCGGTGCAACCTTAATCTAACACCCTTGTGCATATCAATTATGATATCATCTGTAAAGGCATGTTTTTACAACAGGACTGCTGTGTCTTTCAGTAGACAGGAAGCGGGGTGCTCAAGGAATGAAGTGTTGCCAACTCCTGTGATTACATCACAAGTTTCATGATATTTGGTATTTTTTCTAGCCCTCATGGCTGTGGAGACAATCTTGACAGCAATACCTCAAAAGGCTCAAAACCCAGAAAGCAAACAAAAAGAACCCAGCATTTATTATTTTTAAAATATCATGATTTTGGGACCTGACTCATGATTTTTGAACACTTGGGGTCAGCAATAATGGGAATGAGGCAGCTGTTCAATATTTCTTATTTCCCCTCATCTTTTACTATGTGGCCCTTTGCCTTATTTACTGCATAGCTTCCATGTCCTGCATTATTTCTTATTATTTATTTCTTCATGGGATTTTTTGATACTCATCAGCATAGTATCTGAGCCTCCCAAATATTAATAAAAGGCTCTCCACATCTCTACTATGAAATAAGAGAGCACTATTATTCCTATTTTATAGATGGGGAAACTGAGACTTTCCTGAGGCCACACAGGGAATCAATGGCAAAACAGGAATTAGAACTCAGAAATTTCTTTATTGCTCAGTCTGTGCACATGCTTCCAGACCACACAGTATTACTGCCAGAGGTGCTGAGCACCCACAGCTCTTATTGACCTCTGTTGCAGTTGTGAGCACTCAGCATTTCTGTGAATCAGGTCCCAAGCTGGTCTGTCTCAAGTTCATAGAATCATAGAATATCAGGGTTGGAAGGGACCCCAGAAGGTCATCTAGTCCAACTCCCTGCTCGAAGCAGGACCAATTCCCAGTTAAATCATCCCAGCCAGGGCTTTGTCAAGCCTGACCTTAAAAACCTCTAAGGAAGGAGATTCTACCACCTCCCTAGGTAACGCATTCCAGTGTTTCACCACTTAGTTGAGCATTCAGAAATTAAGGAACGCAGTTAGTGGCCACCTGCTAATATTCTGATTTAAATAACTTGTCCAACATCACATGGGAAACTTGTGGCAGAAGCAGGGATGGGACTGAGTTCTCTTCTACAGTATAAACTTGCCTAAGCCACAAGACCATCTTTTCTCTTCTTGCAGCCCTTCCTTCCTCATAATCTTTACGTGTCTTCCAACTTCTGCAAAAATGAGGCAGGGATCCTACAAACAGCCTCATTCACTGCACAACCCTGATTCATTCCTTGTGCACCTAGCATTCTGTGCACTGAATTAAGAGTATCACATAGTGCTCTCTCAGGGTGTTGTTCTCACATGGTGCCTTCTTTGGTCTTTAGAGTTCTCTGGTCTTGCCCTCTCAAATCACCTGTCACTTTAAGAGTTTCCTGTACTGCCAGCTCTGGTCGTTTGATCAATGGAAAGCTTCTTGTATTACATCCGATGAAGTGAGCTGTAGCTCACGAAAGCTCATGCTCAAATAAATTGGTTAGTCTCTAAGGTGCCACAAGTACTCCTTTTCTTTTTGCGAATACAGACTAACACGGCTGTTACTCTGAAATCTGTATTACTTTAGCACGTGTAATATGGGCTCATAAAAATCAAAGGATTTATCAGGACACTGAAAGTAACTCCAGCACACACAAGCTGGACTTGATTTCCTCCTAGACCCATGAGCAGATTAGATACAACAACATAATATGAAAACAAGACAAGAATTTAGTTGTAAGGTAAAAGATATAGCACCACCTCCTCATGGAGGGGCTGTCAACACTGATCATTACACATGGTAGCTAGCCCTTTAGGAGCTTGTGGGGTGGCCTCTCAGAACACCTAGACCTAGCAATTCACTAACTTCCTGGTGCTGCTCTGATTTGACTCCTGCCCCCCTTCTGGTGCTGCTGTCTTAAGTTTTGTCTTCACTAGGAAAGAAAGGCTCCTCCATCTAGGTTACCTTGATCAGCTAATGTGTTAGAACTACAACAGCCTTGGCTACATTAGGGTGTCAGCATACATACATTGACATGATCTGGCTAACATGCTTCAAACACACCTTTCTTCCTAGTGGAGACATGGCTTAAGTGGGGTTGATCCCTTAAGAGAGCTTCTAGGTTCCCTGAAGTGGTGCCTAGCTCTTTAAGAGCTTCCTGCACTGCTCTATTGCATTGCCTCACCTGCTAAGCCCTGGGTGGGTTTCTCTCTCAGGGAGAGGGTGAAAAGCTTTTTGTGCTGCTCTGCCATATTCTCTGGCCTTCTAAGAGCTCACTGGGCTGCTCTTTTAGGCAGTCTGGTCCTTTAAGAGCATTCTGGTGGTACTGCTCTGTTAGGGTGCAGAGGCCGTGGGGCAGCGCCGCTTCTTCTCAGGGTGCGTGGCCCTTTAAGAACTCCCATAGCTGTTCTTTCTTGCTGCCTGGTCCTTGAAACTTCTCTTTTCTCCTGGGACTTGTCTAAACACCGAAATTGCACCGGTTTAACTCAAATCAGTTAAAACACTAGTTGAATTAAATCCTGTTTATTTAGAGCCGTTTAGTACAACTTCTGAGTTTAGACGGGGTCGGGGCCCCTGTGTGAATGGCGCTGTAAGAGAGCGCTACCTCACAGAGGGTGCCTGCCGCTGGCTCTTTAACACTTCCCCTTCCCGCCGCTGCCCTCGTAGAGCGCTTGTGCCTTTAAGAGCTAGCCCCGCCCCCAGGTGCCTGGTGAGTGTTGCAAAAGCTACGGCAGGGGCAGAGCCAAGGTAGCGTATGGAAAGAGGGGAGCCCCCAGTCCCCCTTCCCTGCCCCTAGCTGGGGTGGGTGAGCGAGCTCCGGGCCCGCGTGAGACAGGGAGATGTCTGGCTGACCGGGGCGGCTGAGGCCTTGCAGCTCTGGGGAGTGGGTTGCATCTGCCCAAGCGCAAGGGGACGGACAATGAGGCCCCCGGGGAAAGGGAGGCCCAGCAAAGGACAGCGTGTGTGTGTCAGGGGTAGCAAAGGGTGGGGGAGGATGACGAGGTGAAGTGAGTGAGACAGCGGGGCGGCGGCGGCAAGAGCTGGGGAAGGCGGGGATCCCTCCCAAGGGCAGATGCAGGGAGGATGGGGGCGGGGGGACTTTGTCATGGCGTCCGCAGCAATTTCCTTCTGCATCCCCCCCGTCAAGTCATTCTAGGGGTGGCCACACCACGACCTGAGAGGCCCAGGCCTGCAGTGCGGTTCGTTCTCCTGGGGGGAAAGGCGCTCTCGGCCCCCATGGTCATTCGGTCCTTGGCCTTTGCTCAGGCTGGGGGTGGAGTCTGTAACATATGTACCCGTCATGCAGCTCAGACGAGACCCCACTAGCTTGTTTATGGAGCGGATGAGTGCTGGGCAAGGCTCTGCATCCCAAAGCCCTACCATCACGTGTGCTTTGTTTCCTCCCCCCCCCCCCCAGACGGGGTGAGGTGCAGTGCTCCCTGCACTCACCATGGCCATGAGGGAGCTGGTGGAGCCTGAGTGCGGGGGTTCTAACCCCCTTATGAAGCTGGCTGGCCACTTCACCCAGGACAAGGCCCTGCGGCAGGAGGGGCTCCGACGTCCCTTGGCCTGGCCCCCTGCAGGTCTTGGGGCAGAGGCAGTGAGTACTGGGGAATGGGGAGTCCATCTGACCGCTGATGTGAGGAGTGTTGGTATTTCTGTTATGTTGTGAGTGAGGGGCAGGGATGCACTGGGGGTTTGGGAAGTGGAGGTCTGTCTGAGCACACTGGAGGCTATCAGGACAGGTGAGGGTGTGGAGGTTGGGAGGGGGCTGTCGTCTTAGTGGGAGAAGGGCTTTGAGGGATCATGGGGCTTAAGCAGGGGATCTGTCTGGGTAGGATGTTAGTCCTGCTGTGTGTGTGGTGTGGGTCTGTCATGAGTGGGGGTATGGTACAAGTCAGTCCCATGGTAGTGGGGAGGTGATGCTGGAGGCCAGGTCCCATCACTGGGGTGATTGTTTGGCGTCTTTTCCCACAGGTGACCAAACCTTTGGGAGTGGCCTCTGAAGATGAGGTAAGAACAATTGTATCTCTCCCCTTATCATCTTTCTCACTGCTACATTCTCTCTGATCCCTCTTCACTCTTCCTGTGTCTCATTCCCTTTCTGCCCTCCCTTCTTTCTCTCCTGTTTTCAGTTCCAGAGCTCCTGCTGGGTATTTCTCATCACAAACTCTCTTTTTGTCTCCCTGGCAGCTGGCTGGAGAATTCCTACAAGAGCAGAATGCCCCCCTGCTCTCCCGTGCCCCGCAAACCTTTAAAATGGATGATCTGCTGGCTGAGATGCAGGAGATTGAGCAATCTAGCTTCCGCCAAGCCCCACAGCGAGGTGAGGGGGGAGGGGGAAGGACTAGGGGCATTGGGGCTTCTGCCAGGCCCTCCTTCCTCCCCTCCCCCCCAAGGTGGTATGTCTTGAGGGGAACTGAGAGAGAAGGCCTGCTGAGCTAGGGCAGGGGGTATCTGAAGATTAAGAGGCTAGGCTTTCTCTAATCCTCATGGGGGTGGAGCAGTTGGGGCTTGTCACTGAACCATCCCCATCTCTTGCTCTTTCCCAGCTCCAGGTGTGGCAGCCCTGGCTCTATCTGAGAACTGGGCCCAGGAATTTCTGGGGGCTGCGTATACTACAACTGATGTCTCCCCAGATTACAATGAGGCTGACTGGTCGCAGGAGTTCATTGCGGAGGTGACAGGTGAAGGCTCACCTTGTGAAGTTTGGGTTGGGTGTTGCCTGGTAGCATGCCCCCCTCCGTTCTCCCATGCAGGGGTTGTCTGTTGTATGTGAGATTAGAGAGCATCTGGTAGATGCAGCAGATAGTATTCAGAGTAGGGCACTCCGCCCTAGCAGCTTGCCTCGGTGGGAATGTCACTCTTACACAATTTGAGGGACAAAATTAACCTTATTTAGAGTTTAGGGCCAGAAGGGACCACCAGATCATCTAGTCCAGAGGTGGGCAAACCTGGGACCATCCTGCCCAGCTCATGAGCTCCTGGCCGGGGAGGCTAGCCCCCAGCCCCTCCCCTGCTGTTCTCCCTCCCCCGCAGCCCACTGTGCCACCAGTGCTCTGGGCGGCAGGGCTGTGAGCTCCTGCTGGGCAGCACAGCACTATGGCTGGCTCCGGCCAGGCAGCACGGCTGCCTGTCCTGGTGCTCTAACCTGCACAGTATGGGGGTTGGGAGCAGGGGGGGTTGGATAAGGGGCAGGTGGTCCCAGGGGGCAGTCAGGGAGCAGGGGGTGGTTGGATAGGCTTGGGAGTCCTGGGGGGCCTGTCAGGGGGTGTGGATAGGAGTCAGGGAGCAGGGGAGGTTGGATAGGGCGGGGATCCCGGGCGGGGGGCGGTTAGGGGTGTGGGGAGTCCCGGGAGGGGGCGGTCAGGGGACAAGGAGCGGGGGGGGGTTGAATGGGTTGGGGTTCTGAGGGGGGCAGTTTGGGGTGGGGGCCAGGCTGTTTGGGGAGGCACAGCCTTCCCTACCTTGCCCTCCATACAGTTTCGGAACCCCGATGTGGCCCTCAGGCCAAAAAGTTTGCCCACCCCGATTTAGTTGGACCTTGTGTATGTCACAGGCCACCAGCACCTGCACTCTGGTCTCATTTTAGTTGTTGGGTTTAAAGTATTACAGCCCCCAGGAGACTAGAGTATTGTGTGTATTAGTAAATCATGCAAGCAACCCCATGTGGGCCTTCGTATTGGGGTGCAGGAATGTCTTATTTTGGTTTAGCTAAAATCTTTTGGGAACAGGTTTAAGCTAAAGTAAGATGCTCTTACACTGAAATAAGAGTGTCCAGAGAGAAGTTTGCACCAGTTTAACTAATTTGGTTTAAAAAACTTTAATTTAAACTAGTGCAGCTTTTCCACATAGACAAGGCCGAATCGCTGGTCTCTCCCTGGCTACATGTAGCTCTCTGATGCTCCTTGTTGGGGTGAAACTTGGGTCCTGGCCCAGAGGGGAATATTTTGTTGAATGTTTCAGCCAAATCTGTTGTTCAGTTTCTGTGATCTGTGAGGAGAGGGGGAAAAAAAATCTACATTTCCCACTTCAAAATAAATGTTGTGGGGTCCTTTCTGTGCCTGAAAACAAATGCAATTAATGTTTCCTACTGGGAGGGGAATACTCTGCTTCCCACTAGCCAATACTCTAGCCAATATCTCCAGTCCCTTGTTGCACCAGCTGGGGAAGTGACTTGCCCAAGGTCACACAGCATGTAGAAGATGTGGGATCGACTCTAGTCTCCTCCGCCCTAAGCAACAGAATCTCTACCTTAAACTGTTGGGCAGCAGTTAAACGGCTGCTATGCCCCATCCCAGAGGTGGCTTCTTTTCATTGATCAGTGAAACTGTCCATATTTATTCCTTTCGTACACCTGTTGGAGACAGGCATCATAATTAACATTTATGATGATCCTGAGAGGCTCTGATGAAAGGAGCTAGAAATTTGCAATGCATTATTTGTTTTCCTGATGCATACAACAGCCCACTTTGCTGCTGTCCATGTGGGATAAGACTATATTTTTGCAAATGCAAAAAAAAGTTTTGGTTTTTTAATATAGAAACGTAAGAAAATTGGCACTTTGCCTAAAATGAAATCTGTCTGCATAGATTAGTTGAATCTGAGGTTTGTTTTATTTTCAAGTAAACAAACAAAACTAAGGAAATGAATGGAAAGAAACCTCTGTTAATGTAACAATCTGGACTACAAATCTAACTGTAAATTGGAGAGATCCAAATTGAAGTTTCTCTGAGCAGTGTTCTATTTTATCTTCTTGTTCCTCACTCTTCTCCCACCACCCAATCACCTGTACAGACCCTCTATCTGTATCTCCTGCCAAGTGGGCAGAAGAATATCTGGAGCAGTCAGAGGAGAAGTTGTGGCTGGGGGAAACAGAAGACCAGTCACTGGCAGATAAGTGGTGAGTTTCTCTGTTCTTCCCTCCTACATCCACTAATGTCCAGGGTGGGTGAGGTGTTGGAGATGACAGAAATCCACTATGATCTCAGAACTTTGGGTCTCAGCCAAGTTCTCAGATCCTTGGTTGAAGAAAGCGGAAGAGGCAGAGCCTCCTCCACCCAAGACTGGCCGTTTCTACTACAACAACATAACTAAACACGGGGATCCTGGTTTCATAGGGCTTGTCTACACTGTGGCAATAGATGCATCGGCGGTCGATTTAGCGAGTCTAGTGAAGACCTGCTAAATCAACAACTGATTGCTCTCCCGTGGACTCCTGTACTCCACCTGATCGAGAAGAGTAAGGGGAGTCAACGGGAGAGGGTCTCCCGTCGACGGCATGTAGTGTGGATCCTGCAGTAAGTAGATCTAAGCTACATCGATTTGAGTTACACGATTCACATAATTCAAATAGCATAGCTTAGACTGACTTTTCCCTTTACTGTAGACAAGGCCATAGAGTTTAAGGCCAGAAGGGACATTATGATCATTTAGTCTGACCTCCTGCATAACACGAGAACAGAAGGTTAGATTCACAAAGGTACTTAAGTGCCGAAACACCAGATTTAGCTGCCCAAGTTCCAGTTTTAGGCTCCATTGCAACTCACACTCCTGCCAAACTCTGTAGGTACCTAAACTTACTCGGTGTCTACGTTTGCAGGGTAAAAGTTCCTCAGGTTCCTAAGTTTCTGGGCATGTGTATTGTTGCCTCACAGTAGGTGTCTGGGCACCTAAGCCCCAGAACGATTCACAAACTCAGGGAAGATCGATGTTCACCTGTCTAAGTCCTGTGGGTGCCCAATCCAGTAGATGTGCTCAGAGGCTGCCTACTGCATCAGGTCCCATTCAAAATCCATCTGGAGATGGTGGTGGTGGCAGCAGCCCCGTATAACTTTTAGCCCAGTGGTTAGAGCACTTGTCTAGGCTGTGGGAGAGACAATTTAATTCCCTCCTCTGCCATAGGGGAGAACAGATTTGCACAGGGGTCTCCCACCTCTCAGGTGTGTGCTCTAACCACTGGGCGATGGGATATTCTGGTGTGGGGCTCTGAGTCTCTCCTGCTGAAGCTGTTCTATTGTAGATAAATAATTTTAAAAATTCATGGGAGCCAGGGGACTGGACTTAGGGTCTCCCACCTCCCAGGTGAGCGCTCTAACCACCAGGCTACAGAGTCATTCTCTCTCCCTCTGGCCAGTTACCCTTTTTTAAGAGTGGGCCTGGTGTGGCAGTGCCATCTGTGCCATAGTATACCCGGTGCTGAATCTCAGAGACATTTTTCATTTTGATCACACACCTCTGCATGACTATCTGCATTGCCATACGCAGCTCCCTCAGCCCCCAGTATTTCACACTGAGCTGTATGCCCATGTGGGTTTACCAGTGTCCACAGTGAGTAGAAGTTTCATAGTGATCAGGGAAACTCCCCACAGATTTATCTCCTTCCTCATCAGATCTTCTGTAGGCATGTCTCCAGTACCACCCTGTTTCACCAGTCACAGTATGTGGTCCTAGTCTCAGCTCAAAGTTCTAAAGCCAGCAGATACCTGATCAATTCTGACAAATCCCTCCCTCAGCACTCCTCCTACCATTTGAGCAAGCCACTTGCAAACACCATTTCCCGCAAGTGAGGACTTAGGCCGTGGGAATCTGAAGACACCAGCCTTTCTCCCTCTGCTTCTAGTCTACTACTTGATCACCACCAGCTCTCCCCATGCTTGTTTCCTTTCTGCTTTGGACATGCTCCCCAACCAGCTGGGGCTATTCTCCCACTGCAACCCTGACCTGCTTCTTCTTTCCCTGCTTCCCTTGACATTCCTTTCCTACTGGTGACCTCTGTTCCTTGAGGTTAATTCCAGTTTCTTTATCTGCTCTCGCTTAATGGCCCCTAGTAGTCACAGAGCCACCTGCAGCTTCTCTCACTGTAGCCATGGGGCCAATTGCCAGAGGCCAGCCTTAGATAGTTGTAGCTACTAGTCAAGGGAGGGGTGGCAATTCCAAGGCTGAGCATGCTTGAACCTTGCAATGGTGGCACTAGGGACTCTAAATCCTCAGCGCTGGCCCTAGGCAGTTGCAGACTCTGCAGTTAAGCACTTCCCTCCTCTAGGCCATGTCTTTAAGTACCTGAGATGCCCATCACCTGCAGCAGAGGCCACTAATTCCCACGCACCACTCAGTTACCACATAGTCGTGCAGAAAGTGCAGCCTGAATGATATTGGAGGCTGGGGTGCAAGGAGGTTCCCATCCCCGAGCAGCAGCTCTGCAACAGGCTCACATGGCCCCCCTCTGCTGTGGGACCAGGACCCTGTGAAGACAGTGGAGTTACCCTGTGTAAACCAGTTCTGTCCAAAACCTGTTGAAGTGAGTGGGAGTCTTTTCATTATTTTTAATGGACTGTGTATAGAAGCAAAGGACCCCATCCTAGACTTTAGGAACAAAGTGCATTCTATGCTGCACAGGTTTACTGTTGTAACAGGAAGGTCTCACATTACCTAGTGAATAAGCAACACCTCCCACAGCACCTAACTTTTTCTGAGAGGCTTCCCACCCAATTACTAAATGTAAACGTGCTTCACTTACAAGGGCTGAAAATATCAGGTAGTATGGTCACAAAAGCAAGGCACTTCTGAATTCAGTAGGAATTTTGGATGTGCACAGAACACAGACGGGACTGGTTCCCGCATGGTTACAGTACTGCAGTAAAGTGGAACAATTTTCAGCTTGTGTGATTGGAGGATATTTGGATCCATATTATAATACTGTCCTACATAAATGAGGAAGAGTTGAGGTGCCTTTATTATTCTTTTGTTCCACTCTTCGTTTCTATGGGGAATTTGCCAATACAATATTACTGTCTTCCTTTTAAACAAACAAAACTAAAAAAAAAAAATGGTAATGGCTGTTGAAAATAGCAATTCCAGCCCTAGTTAGTGCTGGGGAGATGCCACCATTTGTTGCTCAATTTTATCCTACTTTTTCTACAGCAAATTACAGTGGATCAGCATATTTGATTTGGGAGAAATGAAGTAACAGCAGCCTAAATTGAGCTTGAGCACTCCTGAATTTTAAGGGTGTTCAAATCTGGAAGGCAGGTGCTAGATTCCCTTTCTGAATACTAGATAAATCTAGAAAGGAAAAGTCAATTTCCACTTCCATGGCTCAGAAGTGGAAATCCTACATGCCTGGTACTGTATCTAAAGCTGCCCAGGTCCTCTGGTAGAGCCTCCCCTCCCTTACTTTTCATTTTATCTTCTAGTGGGATCCACATACCTCCCTTGCTAGGCTTCAGATAGAGAGGTGCACTGTCCATTTAGTCCACCCAATTCCTTCTCTGGGGGCTGCCAGGCGAGGTCACACCAGCATCCCTAATCCAGTCTGGGAAAGTCCTCTGAGGGTGATGTCTGGGCCAAAGCCTTCTACTCCTTGGGCATATTTGTTCCCCATTCACGCTGCCACCCCCTTCTAATAGCCAGCTCTCCATTCATAGCAAGCTGTGGTGCAAGGGGTCTCAGCTTCCTCACTCCCTCTCCCTCCCTTTCCTGTTGATAGCTGCCAAGGGAATGCTGGGAAATGTAGTTACTTCCCTGCTCCAGGGCTGGCCCTATAGGCAGGGAGCTGGCCAAGGAACTACAGCTCCCAGGGCCCTGTGGGTTCTCAGCTCCCATGCTGGATCCCTGCTGCTCCGAGCCTACGCTGGGAGAGGAGAGGAAGTGAGTGTTATGGGGCTCCTTCTGAGCTTGGGCCTGGTGCTATGGCACCATTGGCGCCATGGTAAAGCTGGTACTATTCCTAACTTGTTTTCACAAGAAATACCTTACGTGCTGAAGAGTCTGACTCCAGGAGAGGGGCTCCTGGCTGTGGATCACTAGCAGACGCAGGTGCCTATCTCTGTGCCCTGCTTAGGTGACTCCTCACCGAGTCCACTGGCTTTTGCGAATCACATTCTAAGGTGCCCGTCTTTCTTCAGTCATTGTACAGGAAGCCTGGATACCTGACTCTGGCTTTATGGATCACAGTGTTGTTCCTGTGATTTTTCTGGGTGCCCGAAAGTTAGGCATTGCAGTGCTCCACAGAACACCACCTAAATTCCTTTGTGAATCTAGCCCAGGGATGTCAGCACAAAGACCAGTAACTTCTGTTTGAGCTAGAGCATATCCATTAGAAAGATATTGAGCCTTGCTTTAAAGATTTCAAGTAATGGAGAATCCACTGCATTCCTAGGAAGTTATTCTAATGGCTAGTTATCCTTGTTGCTTAAAAAAAAGTTGCACTTCATCTTCAATCTAAATGTATCTAGCTTCATTTTCCAGCCATTGGATCTTGTTTTGTCTTTGTTGGCTAGATTAAAGAGCTCTCTCCCATCAGATATCTTCTTCCTGTGTAGCTACTTATAGACAGTGACTAAGTTACCCCTTCACCTTCTCCTTAATAAGCTAAATAGTCTTAAGTCATTAGAACACTGGTTTTCCAGACCTCAAATCTTTCTTGTTCTTTTCTGAACCCTTTCCCATTTTGCAATATCCTTTTTCAAATGTAGACACCAGAACTAGACATTTTCAGGAATGGCTTCACCAATGTGTATACAGAAGTAAAGCCACTCCTCCTACACCTGTTTGCTATTCCCATGTTTATATGTCCAAGGATTGCATTTGCCCTCTTAGCCAAACTTTGCACTAGGAGTGCCTGTTCAGTTGATTATCCACCCTGATCCTACATCCTTTCCAGAGTCACTATTCTCCAGGACACAGCCCCAATCCTGTATGTGTGACCTCTGTTCTTTATTCCTAGATATCTGACCTTGGTTTTGGCAGAATTAAAACATATGTTTATCAAGGGATCCAGATTGCTCTATATAATTGATTTATCCTTATTATTTCACTCCACCAATCTGTGTCATCTGGCACAGTTATCACAGCAATGACTTCCAGATTGTCGATAAAGATACTGAATAGTGTTGGGCGAAGAACAGATCATGTGGGCTCTCCAGCCCTAGGAACTATTGTGTGGCCTGATGCAGAGAAAGGGGCAGACTGTGAATAAATATGGAGCCCCCTACTGCTAAGTTTCAGCTCAGACTCTGTCTGTCTCTCTGGTAATAGGTATGAGGAATATCAGCCTGAGGATGATCTTAAGAAAACTGCCAACGATTTCCTTTCTAAAGTGGATGACCCCAAACTCAACAATTCTGAGGTGAGAAATGCCATGGAGCCCCCACCAAGGGGGAGAGGGGAGACCTCCTGCCATTCTGCGTCTCCCCTCTTTTCTCCCTCTAGTTCTGGGGGTTGAGCCCTACAACCCCCAGGATCATGCCTTCCACCATACAACTCCGATGATCCCCTTTTCCTTCTGGTTCTATTGATTCTGGGGGCCCAGATCTGCCTAGCAAATATGGGGAGTTTGGTGAGGGTTGTTGGTGAAGGTTTCTTCCCACATTTCATTTCTTTGACGCAGTTCCTAAAGTTTGTCCGCCAGATCGGAGACGGGAGGGTGTCGATCGAGGCTAATCAGGTGACCCTGACCCCCAGAGACCAGGATCAGGCAGAGCAGTGGGCAGCTGAGTTTATACAGCAGCAGGTAGGACCCCAGCCCCAGCTGCTCACAGGTGTGCAAACTTCCTTGCAGCACTGCCCAGCCTGGGAGAGGGGAGGAACAATGGCAGGGTGAACTTTCTTTCAGCAGGGTCCTGTTAACACTCAGCCAACAGTGGCGTGGGGCTCCCAGAGCATGAGCTTCTCCAAAGCAGTGCCTAGCCAGGAGCAGGGATGGGCTCTGGCAGTGTGAACTTCCTCACAGTGATGCCTTGGCAGGTGAGAGACTCCAGAATGTGTCTGCTCCATTGCAGTATCCCTGTGCAATTAGTGTTCACTTGCAGAGAGAGAGGGGGGGTCCTTACAGTACCCACTGCTGGAGGGGGAGATGCATTGCATTGCTTTTTAATCTTACAGTCTCAAGGTGCTACATGTTATTTCCTTCCCTCTAGGGGGTGTCGGATGCCTGGGTGGATCAGTTCACCCGAACTGGGAATGCGTCAACTCTGGATACAGAATTTGAGCAGGCCAAGACTGCTCTAGAGGTAAAACTGGAGGGGAGAGTGTGACGTTCCCCTCTGGTGTTACCTGGACCGGTGATCTGCTAGGGCACTCCAATCCTTGACTCTGGGAGTCAGCCTTGCCCTGCTCTGCTGTTAAAACCCCCTGCTCCTGGGCTGCTCATGCACAGCCTCTGGCATGTAAGCTGCTTGGATTGTGCAACCAAATGACACTAGCCAATATCTCCAGTCCCAGACAGAACCCTAGGAACCTCCTGTGATGGGTTGGGTCACAGAGACCCCCTTGGGACTGCCACCTGATGTGCTGGGACTACCTCTGAGCCCGTTTTCCCTAATAGCTTGGGACTTCAGTACCCTGCCTTGTTGAGCCAGACACACTAGCCTGCTACAAACACAGCCCCAGGTCTGAACCACGTCCCCCAAAAGCTGCCAGCTTCACTGAAAACAGCTTTAGAAGTGTTCCTTTCTCCAGCACCCAGATACCCAGTTCCCAATGGGGTCCAAACCCAAAAAGTCTGTTTTACTCTGTATAAAGCTTATACAGGGTAAACTCATAAATTGTTCACCATGTACAACACTGATAGAGAGAGAGACACAGCTGTTTGCTCCCCCAGGAATTAATTACTTGCTCTGGGTTAATTAATAAGTAAAAAGTGATTTTATTAAATATAAAAAGTAGGATTTAAGTGGTTCCAAGTAATAACAGACAGAACGAAGTAAATTACCAAGCAAAATAAAACAAAACATGTAAGCCTAAGCTTAATACAGTAGGAAACTAAATGCAGGTAAATCTCACCCTCAGAGATGTTCCAATAAGCATTTTTTACAGGCTAGACTCCTTCCTGGTCTGGGTCCAGCAATCACTCTCACCCCCGTAGTTACTGTCCTTTGTTCTAGTTTCTTTCAGGCATCTCTTTGGGGTGGAGAGGCTATCTTCTGAGCCAGCTGAAGACAAAATGGAGGGGCTTCCAGGGCCTTATATAGTCTCTCTTGTGCAACATCACAGCCACAAGATGGGGTCTTTAGCCACCTGGGCAAGTCACATGTCTGAATGATTCAGCTTTTTGCAGGCCGACGCCACTGTTTACATGTTAGTTTGAACATTCCCAGGAAAGCTGAGATGTGGATTGGCTTCTCCCAAAGTCCATTGTTAGTTAAGTACTCCCAATTACTTGAATAACCCCTTCACACTATGTTGACCATATTTGCCTTATGTGTTTCCTACAGCAAACACTTTAAATACAAGCGTAGAGCCAATGCTCATAACTTCATATATAAAAATGATACATGCATATAAATAGGATGAATATATTCCATAGATCATAACCTTTGCAAAGATATGTTACATGGCATATCTAGCATAAAACATATTCCAGTTATGTCATATTTACACTCATAAATATATTTCTATAAAGCATTATGGGGTGCAATGTCACACATCCGTCTTGCAGTGTCCAGTTATGCCCACTGGACACTGCAAGCTTATATGAGTTTGTCAGTTTAACAAAGAAATTGATATGTGCCAGGCTTGTTATCCTAAGGGGAGTCTCTGACATGCTTCAAACGCACTGCTTCAGGTAGAATAAACAAACAGATTTATTAACTATAAAGATAGATTTTAAATGATTATAAGCCAAAGCATATGCTTGCATAACAAGTCGAATTTGGTCAAATGAAATAAAAGCAAAACGCATTCTAAGCTGCTCTTAACACTTTCAATGCCCTTACAAACTTAGATGCTTCTCACCACAGGCTGGCTGGTTGTCCTTCAGCCAGGCTCTCCCCTTTTATCAGCACTTCAGTCGCTTGGTGGTGATGTCTGTAGATGGAGGCGGAAGACAGAGGTAGAGCATGGCAAACGTCTCTCCCTTTTATCATGTTCTTTCTTCCCTCTTGGCTTGTGTCCCCTCCCTCCCCTTTCACAGTCAGGTGAGCATTACCTCATCACAGTCCCAAACTGACCAAAGGAGGGGGGGACTCACTTGAGAGTCCAGGAGATCCTCTGTTGTTGCCTAGGCTAGTGTCCTTTGTTCCTGTGATGCTGGGCTGAGTTTGTCCCATATATGCCCCGATGAGGTGTGAACTACCTCTCTGCTCTTGGGGAGTTTTTGCATGGACTTGCTTTAAGCCATGAGGACACATTTTCAGCCTCATAACTATATACATGAAATTATAACCTATAACATCACTATAACAACAATTACTATAACATCACTATAACAACAATGCTCAGTGCATCATGAGCCTTCTGAAGACACCCAACATGACAAACTTTGCATTGGATACCACACAATCATTTTATAAGGATGAACATGGGGGTGTAAGATGTTCCCACAAGGTACAGAATGTCACACAGAGATTGGGGTATGAAGGGTGCTTTAGGGCCCCAGAACTGGCTGAGCCCCCTTTCTTGCCATGTAGGGGAGAGATGAGGAGGGGGGCTCGGAGCTCTAGAGAGCGGAATCTCCAGGGAACATGTAGGGGGAGTTCAGCAGGGTGCTATCCTTTAACCACCTCCTCCTCCTCTCTTCAGTCAGATGTGGATTTCTGGGACAAGCTTCAGGCAGAGTGGGAGGAGATGGCCAAGCGAGATGCAGAGGCTCACCCCTGGCTCTCCGATTATGAGGACCTCAGTACCTCCTCCTATGACAAGGTAATGGGGGGGCAGTGAATGCAGGTCCGAATGCTGTGCTGGGCAGTTTTGAGAGCTTCCAAAATCCCTTCTCCCAGTCTGGGTACTGAGAGGGCTGCTGTCCCACTCCTCTTAGTGTCAAAGGCCAGGCACTGTTCTTAACAGCCAGTCTCTTGTCTGGGCATGGGTGGGGCACTGCTGTGAGGAAGTTTGCTGTTGCCAGAGTCTCTGTCAATACCTTTGACCAGGGGTCAGACTGGAAAAAATGTATGGTGGTTCTTGCCAAAGCCCTGCCCACTGCTGAAGATGCAAATCAATTGTAACACACCAGCAGTTAATTCTGGTGCGTTACAACACAAGCCATTTTCATCAATATAGGGGACACAGAAAGAGACTCCCTAAATTTGGTAAACTTACACACACAGCCCTGCAAACTGATACATCTCTCCTCAGGCTGGGGCATGGGATCATTCACCCCAGACTGAGTGGGGAGCAGAGGGGGCAGGAGCTGTTTTGCCCCAGTCTGCTGTGAGCTGGCACACTCTAACCCTGTGCTCTCAGGAGGGAAATACCAGCCACTCCATGTGCTGAGGTACCACCTGTTCGTCACCCATTGCAGTGTCTCTGGCTGTTGGAGCTGAAAGGGGTGGGAGAAGATAGTAGCAGGCTTTCAGAAGTGTTGATATGGCATGTGGGCGCACATCAGCTGTTTCTGAGTCATGCCCTTTACCCACCTGCCCATAGTGTTAACCCCTTGCTTTCTGTCTCTGGTAGGGTTACCACTTTGAGAAGGACAATCCCATGAGGGATCATCCGCAGGCATTTGAAGAGGGGCTGAAGTGTCTGGAGAAGGGTGACCTCCCCAATGCTGTCTTGCTCTTTGAGGCTGCGGTGCAGCAGAAACCTGACCACATGGAGGTGAGCAGGGCAAGGAGAGCAGGGCTTCTCCAGGTATCTTGCCATTTGGAGCCTGGCCAGCTCCCGAAGCAAGGTCAGGCTGGGTCAGTCTAGGGATGGGAAACCCACTTGTCACAGTTTCAAAGCAACTGCACTTGGATCCTCACCTTCGTGGCCCACTCCAGGGGTGCTCAGCCTTGTCTCAGGTTTCTAGCCCTCACATGTCCTGGGCAGGGCACACATGTCCTGGGCAGGGCACCCATGTCCCACTCCTTTCTGGCTGGGAGTTTCACAGCTGCACAGCTCCCTGCCATACACTATCGCCAGCAGGCCAGTCTGCCTAATGGCCAGAGCCTCTGCATTGCTTTCTCTCCACAGACAACAGTGTTTTCACCAGTGACTACTCAGCTCTCCCAAAGCAAAGTACATTTATTCTAGGGCAAAAGCATCACAGAGAAACCATGTTAAAAACAATAAACGTTCTTACCCACTTGCTAAGTACAGCAGCAATCACCCACCTTCCACATGTAGAGTCTGATAAGCCAATGCCCTTCCAGTCCTTCCGCAAGGCTTGGGCCTCCCCTTGGACAGAAGGTCCTGCCCATTTGCTGAATCAAAATGAAGGTCCTGAATATCTTTAAACTCAGCCTTTTATACCAGAAGCCCTTTCTTTCACTTGATCTCTGGAAGATCCAGCTTGTATCAGTATATGCAAACCTCCCTTAAGTAAGGTGCTTCTCTGGGGATGTTTACAATCCCCAGGGTAATCACCCCCATTGTTTTTAGCTCCTGGAGTTGCTGGGGTAACCTGCCCCCATGGAGTAGAACATGATCATACAGAGAACTTTCATGAATGTAATACAAGGGTCCCCTGAGATACGGTCTGGATTTGCAATATGGCCCACCACTCCAGTGCTGGGGGAGCTGTGCTGCAGGGGGTGGTGTGGCTGACTCCAGTTCTCAGGTGTGTAACTCTGGCTGTGTACTTGTATGTGAACCCCAGGGGGCTCACTGAGAAGATGGTCAAGCTGTGTGCACCTGACCTATGGTTCAGAAGGTCTCCCAGTGTAAAGCTGATTAGAATCTTGGGGATATAACTGAGATGGGTCAGGTTCTAGGGTATCTGTCTTCCTGAAGCACCAGACTCCCTGCATGAGACGCTGAAGTCCTTACCGTGGTGGCATTGGAGTCACGAGGTTGGTGATGCTCAGTGTCTTCAACAGCCACACAAATGCTGAGTCTTTTGAGTCAGCTGAGGACTTGACAGCTAGGGCGGGTTGGTCCTAGGCATCTGGCTCAACTCATAGACAGCTGGCCTCACTTCTGATTTGGTGTCCTGATTAGGACTGGAGGTTGGACAACTGGAGAGCTTACCCATGTCCTGGCCAGATCACTATCTCTTGTGGTTTGAGGTCAGGGCACGCTGCTCCATTTGGGTGAAGACCAGTTCTGACAATCTGCTGTCAGCAATGGGAATGAAACACTTGGGGGAGATAAACATGCTACTCTATCAGTGGTTTGATAGGACTATGGGCTCTTGTCCTTGCCATTGATTATGTGGCCTCTTAGGCACCCACTTCCTTGGCTTTGTCCTTACAAGTCACCATGGTTTAGACTCTAGAGGGCCAGTGACAGACTGAGAGGGAATATTGCTGGAATGGCCATGGTGGAAGTCTTGGGCCCATTCTGCATGGTGTGCTATGGCTGTGCAGGAGACAAAGAAGGGATGCTTTGCCTTCATCCTAGTATTCACAGTGCCGTGATCAGGAGGCTGGTCTGAGTCCTTGCTGTGAGAATGAAATTAAGATTCGGATGAAACTCTGTTTTCCTGGGGACAGGGCAGTGTTCTGAGGGCACACATGTTCAATCAGCTCTGCTTGAGTCTCAGGTAGGTAGTTTCACACTGAGGCTCTGGAAGGGTGGGGGCACTTAGTCATCACCTGTGTTGGCTCATGAAGGCCATTGACAAGTGGCTGGGTCCATTGCTGGTGGAGAGCAACACTTCTCTTAAAGAGAGCAGGGTGCTGGCTTCCCTGCTTAAGGGAACTTTTGTATGGCTTATGCTTGTTACTTCATGCTGTCAGTCCAGCCAACTGTCAGCCTGGATCAAACCTTCTGTTTCTGACTAAGATGATGGAACACACTTGGGGTGGGGAGTGAGACAACTCATAATATCTAGCTGATTTAAACCTCTTTAACGTTAGTCAATTGGGGGCAGCTGTGGGTGCATCAAGGACGCTGTGTTAGCTACATGGGTAGCTCTGGTGATGGATGAAGATCAAATCAGGTGTCAATGCTGCTATATTTAGTTCTCTCAACTGCCTCAGTACTGTCGATCATGACATAATGATTTGCCTGTGGACCATAGCAGGCTGCTTGTGACTGAGTCTCTTATTTCTTAGCATTCCCACTCCAATATTCTGTCCGCTGGGCTGTGCTACCTCTCAGAAGCCCTCAATGGCCGGAGACCTGCTTCTTTCTTCCTCACCCTGCAGTCTAGTCCCAGTTGTGATGGGTGGAGGTACTAAAGCTGGAGCCCCCAGGGTTTAGCAGAGAGGGGACTGCTGGTAGCATGTTGTGTGTGGGGACAACTCACTCCCCCTCCACCTTTCCAAATAGCCCAAACCTGCTGACTTCCAGGATGCATTGCAGAGCCCACCTGTTTTCCTGGGGAGTGTGGGAGAGGTGAAGGTGCTTATGCGGGGTTAGTTAACACGGGCTCTGTGGAGTGGGCTGAGGCTGCTGACTTGGGTACATCTATTTTTAATCTCCAAAAAAGGTGCCCAGGGCACAAGATGGTGCCTTTAATTGTACTTGCAATGTGAAGAAATATAAATAAGTTTCTCTGTTTCTGCATCAGGCCTGGCAGTACCTGGGAACCACCCAAGCAGAGAATGAACAAGAGCTGTCTGCAATCAGTGCCCTCAGGCAGTGAGTAGCTGATGAAGAGGGGATCTAAAGCAGGACTCCTGGGTTCTGCTCATGGCTCCTAGAGGGGCTGGGTTGCTGGCCACTAATGACAGACCATATCTCAGTTGCCCCACTTAAAGGCTGAACAAAGTTCCAGTGCTTTTTTTTCCCCTGAACCAAATGCAAACTCGGAATGATAAATTTACTGTGGGCTGCTGTAGCGAGCTGGTTTCTGACCCAATCAAGGTCTCCTGCCCCCTAATGGATCCTTCCTTAATTTGCCTGGACACTGGCGCTTGCTGTTCAGCCTGTTTATAGCCCACCCAGGTGGTTGGAAAAGAGTTCTTAAAAGGCCACTGAAGGTTCCTATCCACATCTCCAAAGATGTGAATGCTGTGCGCTCTCTCCCACTCTGTCCTGCAGGTGCCTGGAGCTGCAGCCAGGGAACCTCACTGCACTCATGGCTTTGGCCGTCAGCTTCACCAATGAGTCTCTGCAGAAGCAGGCATGCGAAACCCTGCGTGACTGGCTGCGCCACAAGCCAGCCTATGCCCACCTGATGGGGAAGGAGCCGGAAGGGAGCAGCTTGGCATCCAGCTTGGGGTCCTCCAAGCGCATCCTGGGCTCCCTACTGTCTGAGTGAGTCTGGGCGATGGGGAGACTGGGGAAGGTGCAAAATATCCCAGTCCTGCTTGTGGTCTTGTAGCTGGGTCCATTAGGGTGGGGGTGACCCCAGGAAGAGTTGCGGGGAGCTTGAACCCTCAATGGATGAGTTCCCTCATTCTCTCCCTCCCTAGCTCCTTGTTCATGGAGGTGAAGGACCTGTTCCTGGCAGCCGTGCGCAGTGACCCCTCGGCCGTGGACCCCGATGTGCAGTGCGGCCTGGGCGTCCTCTTCAACCTAAGCGGCGAGTACGAGAAGGCTGTGGACTGTTTCAGTGCCGCGCTGAGCGTGCGCCCCAACGTAAGGGGGCAGAGTGGGGTTGGGGGGGGAGGGGCTGATTCAGGATCCTGTGTGTGTATAGGGAGGTGGGGCTGGGCTCTGCCCTGGGGGGAAAGGCCGGTGGGGTGAGCAGCAGGCTGACCTGAGGGGGTGGGTAGGTTTGAATGCTGGGTGGAGTGGGGAAGAGATGGGGAAGTGGGGAGCGTTGTGAAAGACAGGCTCTCTGGGAGGTAGGGTGGGATGCCTGTTGCCCCTGTCACTTGCTTCCTGCCCCCCGTTCCAGGATCACCTCCTGTGGAACAAGCTGGGTGCCACTCTGGCCAATGGGAATCGCAGTGAGGAGGCTGTGGCTGCCTATCGCCGGGCACTGGAGCTGCAGCCAGGCTACATCCGCTCCCGCTACAACCTGGGCATCAGCTGCATCAACCTGGGGGCCCATCGGTGAGTGGGAACGAGGGGCCAGCTGGGGGTTGGGTGCTGGCGGTTGGGTGCCAGGTCTGCTATGACCGAGTATCAGTGGGGTCCAGTCAGTTATTTGGGGGGGGTGGGGAAGCTAGGGGGCTATTGGTGAGGATGTTCCACTTGGTCCCTTTGGGTGTAGGATGTGCTCCATAACCCTGGCAAGCAGGGAGCAGAGAATGTTTGTCTGCCCCAGGAGCAAAGTACCAGCCAACATGTCTCCCGCACCCTTGGTTCTCAGTATCAAAGGGAGGGAGCATCTCAGAACTACGGAAAGGATCTGTTGCAGTGATTGCCTTCAAGCTTGTGCCTGGAGGTGAAGCTGTCAAGCCACGTCCATTACAGCTTAGACATTGGCTCCATTGGTCCTGTGGGCCAGTGATGAGGGGTGTGAGGTGCAGGGATAAGAAGAATGGCTGGAAGAAGTGTGGAAGGGTGATTATTGAGCCATCCAAAGGGGATCTAGAGGGTCCTTCTCACCCATAGGATGTGCAGACCTCCCCAATTAACTCTGTCTCCCTCCCTCCCTGTTCATGCTGGTAGTGAGGCAGTGGAGCACTTCCTGGAGGCCCTGCACATGCAGCAGAAGAGCCGGGGCCCACGGGGCCAGCAAGGTGCCATGTCTGACAACATCTGGAGTACCCTCCGCATGGCCCTCTCCATGCTGGGCCAGAGTGATCTGTATGGGGCAGCCGATGCCCGTGACCTTCCCACCCTGCTCCAGGCCTTTGGCCTCCAGCAGTGACTCAAGGACGGGCTCCCCTGTGAGTGCAGGGTGGGCCCGGGCCAGTAGTTATGTCCCACAAACCCCTTCTGGGGGGAAAAAAAAGGTTTACTGGGGTTCACACACATCTATTCTTCAGTTGCTGGGGGCAAGTCATTGGCTGCCATTTCTGTAGGACCTCCCACAGTAGAGGGTAACTTCTCTCACCTGCATCTTGTGGCCTGAGCATCTGTGAGCAGCTCATGTGGCACCATCTCCCCACAGGACTCTGACCCTCCACAGGGACATGAGCTGCTGGCACTGGGAAGCAAATCAGTGGGGGGTGGAAGGGATGGGGAAATAGGAATGTATCAGGATCACTTCTTATAAGATAAAATAAAAAAGCTTGCGTTTTGTGATACCCTCCAATAGTAGCCCCAGTTGCTCATGTCAGACCCTGTCATAACAATCCTGTCCAGCGGAGACTGTCGGCTCAAGCAACTGGCTCTGGGTGTGCCGGTTAGGGTTAGAAAGTAGGATTACTTTCTAGTGCTGGGGCTGCCCGTCCTGGTTTGCTGTGAGATCTGAGAGTGTCTGGGCTACTAACCCTAGGTCTTTCCCAACTGAGCATGCAGCCCCACCCCCACCACGTGTGTGCAGTGGGTAGGTCACTTTGTGAGGCTTGTAGGTTTTTTTCCCCTCCTTCCAGGTACTAATAACAGTGTCCTGGTTCTGAGCATCTCACTGGGCTCACGCTCACTTGGGATTTGGGAGAAGGCTCTGAGACTGCAGTGGGGAGAAGAGTCCCTGGGGCTGAGTTCAGGGGGGTCACCCAGGGACTGGGGGAAAGCTGACTAACTATAAAAGCACCTTGGCCAAAAGCAGGGGTGGGGGTAAGGTCTTAAGTTTCACTTGATTGTCTGTCATTGTAGAATAAATTGGGAATTATTTTCTCTGTGCAGATGGTCCTCCCCAGCCTGTAATTGAATCTTGTGAATTATAAATATCTGTATATGATTTTTGGAGGGAAAGTTTTTTTAATTGTAAAATATTTTGTATAATAGAAGGGAAAAAATTAAACTCATCAAAATATTGTAGTGTCTGGCTGTGTGTGTGTATTGGAAGGGTGTACGAGCATTTGTGTGGGGAAGCTCCTGTGGAATTTGAGAGGATGCTACCCCTGCTCTGGGATGGTTCGACATCCACAGAAAGGATGTTGGGGTAGAGTGTAACTGTAGAGGGTTGCTGCTGATGTCTGTCTCCCCCTACCCTGCACCTTCGTGGGACATTAAGGCAATCTAGGCCCCCACCAGTTGGAGTTCTGGTGCCAGACAAAGGCCCCCAATCTGCACAATAGTCAGTGGCAAAGATGGTCTTAGATGGGCTCCCCCAGAGAATGAGGGGAGGTAGCCTAGCACCCCTCTTGAGTACTTTATCTTGGGGTAGGTGGGTTCTTTGGCTGGGTCTGCTGCACTTTTCTCCTGCCATGTGCAGAGCCCCAGTTGGGATGGGGTTGGTGGAGCTCATCAGAGTGGTGGTCTTGGTATTAACACCCTGTTCAGATGAATGGGGCAGTTTCTACCTCTCAGAGCTGGTGATTCAGGTGCTCCATGGATGCCCCTGCATCAGTTCTGCTCAGGCCATGTTTTCCAGCTTTTCTTGCTAACCATGAAGGCTAGAAACTTTTTTAATAGTGAAAGCTGAGCTTTTGCTGTGGTCACAACTGTGGGAGTTGGGACCCTGGGCATCGGGACCCTGGGCATCACAGACCTACGCCTATGACCTAATCTCTCCCTGTCTGGGACCAGAATGTACTCTTGCTGCCCTGGGCCCCTTCCCCATTTCAGTGGGGGAGAATTGGACAGGGAAGCTTTCTCAGAGCTGGCTCAGGAGAGTGGCCATGTGCATGGACCTGTCTCATATAGGTCTCTTCCTTCCCCCTGCCCCTCAGTGCCACGTCTTCATACTCTAGCTGTTGTGGGAGGAAGGAAGGGGTGTGATGGGGAAAATGTTAAATATGCTACCAACCTGCATCCCTGCACAGGACACAGCCCTCATAGCTTTGCCCCTACAAGGAGGCTTTGCACTGGTATTCCTCAGAGCTGGAGACTTTTCTAAGAAGTCTGACAGCTGCTTCTGTGGCAAGGGTCTCCCCCTATCCCAGACCAGCTCATCCAAAGGAAGGGGTTAATCTCTTTAAAATGCCAGGTGCACTGAGCTGCAGCCATTCTGGGCTTGCCAGGTAACATAGGTCTGGGGGCAGTGAATGTTCATCCAGCACAGCATGGCCTCTCACTGCTCTCATATGTGGCTCCTCGCACAATTGGCACTCTATGCTGGGAGAAGCACTGGCCCAAGGGCTTCCCAAGCCCTTTCAGCACCAGGCTCGAGCCTCCTTGCCCTGCTGCACTAAAGGACTGCCTGTGTAACTTCTCCCTGTGGAAAGACCCTGGCTCAGCTCTAAGGCCTAAATATTCAGAAACATCCACTGCTTTTGGGTGCCCACCACACTTAGGGGCTGAACACCCACATCTTTCCTGGCCTTCAGAAGGAGGGTTAGATAGGTGTAAACTTCCTGCCTGTCTTTGGAGCTTTCCAGCCTTATTGCTACATTTCTTCAGCTGCAGTGACATCTAGCGGTGAATCCAGAGCTGTGTACCCTTTGACTCAATGTTTTCTTGCTTGTCTCAAAGTTCACAGCATGTGAAAAGAGCCCAGGAGCCTGGCCTGCTTGTCTTTGATTCATACCTGTGTCCTTTTAGTGTGACACTCAGGGCCCGAGTTCCAGCCAGAGGGATTTCATTCTGCTTCTTATGGCAGCAAAGCCGTCATTGAGCTGAATTCCTAAAGATGAATTTTTATTGGTACTTGTAGCTGTGGCCAAATGGGGCTAGGTTCTTTAGTGTCCAAGTTTGAATTTACAAATGTCCCCCTGCTATTCCAGTGGTGGGCTCCCTACACAGCTCTGCCAATACCCCTCAGTCCTGCAGCCCCTTCTATTCCAGTCCTGGGCTCCCCACACAGCTCTGCTGAAACTTTCAGGTCAGCATGGTGGCATAACAGTACTGTGTGAGCATTATGAAGCACTGGGTATGTTTTCTGATTGCAATACTATGAGCTGTGAAGCAGAAGCTTCCACAACCACCTGCTGTGCACTGAAGTAGCCCTGGGACTTGCTACCTTCCCTTTCCCTCACTGCAAGCTGAGGTTGGGGACCTGTTTGTACTACCAGTGCTAGGGCTCGGGCACAATTGCTAGGAAAGAAAAGTGGCTAGATATGAGAAGTTTTCCAGCTGTTTATTACACTCAAGTGATTAGACCTGAGGGGATACCCCTAACCCTATCCCATGGAATTAGTGACAGCAGGCCCTATCTTGGGTTGATTAGCATAGAATCAGTGAGTGAGGGCAGAGAACTCTGAGATTCTCTCTTGTCCATCCGCTGTGGGCAAGGCATGGATTGTTCCACACAGCCTTCTTTTAAATGGCCCCAGGGATGGAGCTCCAGTGAGAGATGCCTCCAGCAGCTGCTAGACCTTTTTGATATGAGCAAATGTTTTCTGAAATCCAGTCTTACAGCTTTTGTTCAGTGTGAGGATACACATTGGGCTTGAGTTGCAGCCCACTTTACCATCCTCCTATTGCACCTATTGTATCCCTTTGCTCTTCCAGTTTTAGTTCACAATTACATCTGTTGTGATGATCAGGTGTCAAAGTGTTAAGATAGTACTAAAGCCCTCATTTCACTGTCACAGCATTAATGAGTTAATTGTGGTCTGGGCTGTTTTGTATATTGACTGCAGTCTGCTCTCCCCTCAGCAACCACCCCACTGGAGCCATTTCAGACACTTATTCTGCACGCCCTCAGATAAACGAAACAGGAGTATTCATGGAATTCCAAAATTCAATGGTCATTCGTGGAGGGAGAGCTGCCCTTTTGTGTATTTATGCTCAGTAAAGGCCTGCAGAGGGGAGATGCTGGTTATAATTATTTGTTGTTAGAGTAACTAGGAGCCCCAGTTATGGAGCAGGACTCCAGTGTGCTGGGTGTTGTACAAATGCAAGACAGAAAGACAGTCCCTGCCCCAAAGCACTTACAATCTAACTATAAGTCAAGACAAAAATGACTTGTTGCTATCAGATTACTTTCTTTGGGAAAAGTCAATCTAGTGTTGGATTCTGGCTCAACAGTTGTTAAGGCTATTCCTGCTCTTTAAACAAACATGACCTATGCACAAAAAGGGGAGAAAGGACAGAAAAGAAAGGGAGACAACTGTCACTGATGCTGACTTCCCTTTATATGCTATAGGCAGGATGGGCAGCTCAGTCATAAACAGGTGTGGTTCAGATACAGGGCCCCTGTTCACTTCCCTTGTCTTGCATGATACCTAGCTGTCATGCCCTGGCATCCTCCCACTGTCTATCTTCTGTCATGCTAAGGCAAAGCTACTTATGCAGTCTTCACCTGTCAGACAAGTTACGGTGATGGTATCATGCAGTTTACAGTATTATTAACACCTAGTCTTCAAAAATCAGGCCCCCAAAATCATGAGATTTAAAAAATGCAGTTCTTTTTCTTTGCCTGCTGGTCTCTGAACCTTTGGTGGACATTCTGTTCCCATTTTCAGGCTTTTCCCCACCACTAGGAGGACTAGTGGCTTTTTTTTTTTTTTTTTTTTTAATGAAAGATGAGATTTTTCCCACAGTCAGGTTGGCTCCAGGAGCAAAAGGCTTAAGGAAAATAGAAACTGTGAGATGTCTCATAATAGTTAATTTCAGTGCTGGTTCAGCCTGGAATCAAGAAGAAGCCAAAAAAGACAGAGGGGAGAGACTAGAATGGGGATGAAATGGGACACAGGTCATGGAGATGTCAGTATCTTAAATCTCTCATCCCAGAGTTTGTCAAATGCTCTCCATCAAGTAATATCGAAAAGGGTTGGACAAAGTTTCTATCAAACTAGTCAAGTATTCAGAGTTCCAGGTACAGCCACTTTCCCTCATTTTAACAGCATTTGAATGTGTTGCTAAACACTTAACAATGTTAATTCTTCAGCCATATTAGGAGATTTGAAAACCCTCTTAATCAATTATCAGGGGGTAGCCTTGTTAGTCTGTATCCACAAAAACAACCGGGAGTCCGGTGGCACCTTAAATACTAGCAGATTTATTTGAGCATAAGCTTTTGTGGGTAAAAACCTCACTTCTTCAGATGTATGGAGTGAAAGTTACAGATGCAGACCTAAATATACTGACATATGAAGAACCTCTTGTGAGGTAACTCCCTTCTCTTCATGTGTCAGTATATTTAGGTCTGCATCTGTAACTTTCACTCCATGCATCTGAAGAAGTGAGGTTTTTACCCACGAAAGATTATGCTCAAATAAATCTGTTAGTCTTTAAGGTGCTACCGGACTCCTGTTAATGCTTCATTTGATATAAACTGAGTTTGAATCAAATGAAGCATTAACATCAGTCCTTAGGCTCTGCTCTGAGCTTCATTTCAACAACATTACAGAACAGAAGAGAGAGTAAAAGACGTTCCTGCCTCTTTCACCTTCTTTAGTCTTGAACCCAGCTCCACTCCTGGTCCAACAAACCCACCCTGGACACTCAGCCGGTGAACAGCTGAGAGTTCACCAGCTGGAGCAGCTGAGCTGGGAACTGTGCTCCTGACAGAGCTTCAGCTATCAGCTCTCTCCCTCTCCCTCCCCAACCTGACAGGAGGAAGGGCAATGGAATAACTCATACTGAACTGTCTAGGAAGCAGAGCTAGTAGCTCAGCTTCTCTGGTAACTTCCAGGCCAATGCTCTGCAGCGTAGTTCCAAAATAAATGTCTAACTTCATATTTCAAGTTATGCCCCTAAATATAGTTACATTAGATCTCAGCTTGGGGCCTCTGTGGGTTTTTTTGGCCTTGGCTATGCTTCAAAATTAGGTCTATGTAAGTTGCCTTGCATCAACCTACTGCGTGTGTCTCTACTCAGATTTGTTGCTATCTGATGTAAGTGTCCCACTACTGTGATGCACTAAAACCAACTCCCTGAACAGCATAGAACTATGGTCGACCTACTGAGAGGTCCATGCAGTGTGAGT